CTTTCAGATTTTAAGATAATATTTTCTTTTGCAGCGTGAAAGCATCCCAAGGCTTCTTAAATATATCATATTAAGAAAACATTCCATGAAATATATTCCCCATATGTTTTATGATCAAGTGTTTAATAGTTTGCTTATGTTTATGGTTTCCGAACTCGTGTAATACTCATTTATTACATCCAGAAGTAAGTAGCTGAGTGTTACATCATCGCTACAAGAATGTACACGGTTTGGCAGTTGCTCTTGTATAATTAAGTCAAATTATTTGAAAATCTATTAAAATACATTGAGGTATATGTGAATTATGGTTCCTTTAATGCCTTTGCTTTGCATTATACTCTGAGCGTGGTATTATACTCGTAAATCTATAAAACGTTATATCGTCCTCCCTTTCTTCAGACATAAATATTCTAAGACACGTAACTGTTGTTTGCTTTCACGTATAAAATATTTTTAAAAGTTTGAAGATGCACAACATTTGGGGAACGAAGAATCAAGAGGATATTGAAATGTGTCGGATTGGGTTAAAATGACTAAGAGTAGGGTCCAGTGGTGAGTTTTTCTGGACGAGTCACACATAAGCAGGACCTTTTTAGCCTAAGTGAATAAATAACAGCATTACTTCCCAAGAAGCCGGTCACGGTAGCCGAGCGGTCTAAGGCATGCACTGTCTTCGCTCGCTCGGAAGCCGGGATCGTGGGTTGGAATCCCACTCAGGGCATGGATGTTTGTGTGCGTTTTTCTGTGTTTGTGTACAGGTAGAGGCCTTGCGACGAGCTGATCACCCGCGCAAGGAGTCCTACCAAATGAATAACTCTGCTACTCTTCAGATATTTCATTTTCAGACATTTATTATGCATAATCTGCAGAATCTGCAGTAAGTATATATGTTCAATAAATACTGACTTGTGNAGGTAGGCCTAGGCCCACTGGGGCTGTAGCGCCAAGGGGGGGAAAACTTCCCAAAAAACACCTGGAATTGGTTAAATGTGTATTCAGTTGAGTTTGTCTCTTGATCAGCTGGTGAATTATTTAAGCAATTTAACCGACGTGTCGTTCGGTTAGTGAAGTTAATTATTCCGTTAGTGGCCTAGTCAGTCGGTTAGTTGGTTTGGTTAAATATTCCTTGTATGGTTAGTTAGCCAGTTTGTTTTGCTTAGTTTTGACATTTATTCTTTCTTCTCTGTTGTAGTTTTCTTGTTATTATTGTTAGGGTGGGGTGAGATTGAATCTTTTCTGTTCTTAGACCGTCAATTGTCTGGCCCATTGTATCAGCATCGGATAACAGTTGAGAGAAATGAAATATTTGGTGGGATGCGAATTGGCAGGGGAAACCGAAGCGCTCGGAGACAGCCGGTCCCAATGCCACTTTGCCCGTCACATATCCCACACGAACTGACGCCGGGGCCGTTGAGCTGAGGTCGGCGACTAAACGCCTGAGGTAGGACACGGTCAACCTTCACTGCTGCACAGTGCGTACGGAAGTGACTTAGGCCATTTGGGATTTCTCATCTGTTTCTGTCTCCTTCCAGTGACTCAGCTGTGACAACATTCCAGTCTAAGCGCATGCGTCAAGATAACCATCTGTTGGGAGCCACTTTCTCTAGACGTTTAAAATTGACAACAAGGGGAATTTATTTTTACTGAGAAACGGGGAGGTCCTATTAGCAATGGGTTATTGATCTGTCCTTGGCGGTTCTCGACGGAGCATAGAGCTCCAACTGCAGTTATCACGTTCCCTAACTTAGTCGATGCTTCAAATGTGATGAGTATTAATATAAGAACGTAATTATATGTCACATTGGACTGAAATAAACTTAATTGTAAAAAAAAAGTAATTATTTGTTAATTCGCATAGTGGGGGGTGGAGTCCAGTTGGGTCCACTCGGCACGGCGGCCACTGATTGGCCTATTGTACCTGCCCCGGGTAATTATGATGATAGAGAATTTGGTGGAATGAAGATTGGCAGGAGAAACTGAAATACTCGGAGAAAACCTACCCTAGCGCCACTTTGTCCACCACAAATCCCACTTGACCAGACCCGGGATCGAACCCGGGCCGCCGCGGTGGGAAGCCAGCGACTAACCGCTTGATCTATGGCGCGGACTGTAATAAGAGAAGTATGTATATTGCAATTTGGGAAACATGTATTTTCCTAATTTTTCCTTTCATATTTTTGTATGTTTCATTGCGGACACAGATTCAGTTTTGCAAAGATATCAACAGTACAGCCGTTTCCGGATATTTCGTTCAGTATGGACACTATCGCAGTCCACAGTCTCCTCTGGAGACAAAACAAACCGGAGGGCCGGATAGAAGTGAGAAGACGTAAGAAGATGCTGGATGACCTTGGGACAGAAGAGGATATTTTGGTTTGAAGGAGAGAGCTCAAGATCGCATCAAGTGGAGGTACTGTTTTGGAAGAGACTGTGGACCTGTCGTCTGACAGATTACAGATGAGTGAATGAATGGACACTATGCCCAAGAATGTTAAAATGAAAGATGTAGGCTCTGCTTCTTAATTTATATCGCATGCAATTGTTCGTAGATTTTCAATTTGTGTTTAGAAAACTAAAAAATTCGGTTTCAGCTTTACATATGTTATGAAGAAAAAGATGAACTAAAATTTATTCAGTATATTTGAGTTCGAGTCCTAACATCAAAATCCACGAAGTATAAATTATTTTCGGGGGTGATATATTCTGATAGGCGGTTAGAATCGCCTCTCCATTGTATGAAAAATATACGCACTTTGTGTAACGGAAGAGGAAAAGCAAGAAATAAGAAACACATTAAGTTTTGCAGCGCACGCTCTATCAAATTTACATTCAGGCGTCTGCACTAGCAGTATTTCGCCATACGTACTCAAAGAATGAATTTTCTTAGTTGTTGTTGAGTGTTACGTACAAAAATATGTTATTAACTTCAGGTTTGCAAATACAAGTATAACTTCCTGGAGTCTGGGCATAACTTACTCTGGCGCAAAATTATCATACTATGGGATATTTTTGTTCGTCTCCTAATCTACTTGCGGTATTTCGATGAATTTCGGGTTAATTCCAGAATAGGAAAGAATTCAGAAGGCGGTGGCTGTTTTCCACCCTCCATGGAAATGTTGAAATTATGAGTAATGTTGTCCCTGTGCTTAATTTATGTACCAATACTCCACGGAGACTTACAGTATTCAGTGATATTCTTAGGCCTGTTTTCCTTAAATGAAGCAAATCTAAGGACGGGTTTTGAGTTTTATTTTTAAAAATAAACTTCCGATATTGGTAGCAAGGGCTGGTAACTTGTTCTCCTCTTGCCTCTGAAAAATAAAATTTCACTCAATTTCGTAAATTGTGTGTACACCAAAATTTTCGTAGCTGCTAATTTTGGCCTACAATAAAACTGAAATTTGAGTATATATATTTTCTTATAATAAGAAACGGTTTTCGATGTGGTGAACATGTAACGAAATTTCTTTCTTCTTACATTAATTCTGAACTGTTCATTAGCTTTGCAACAATATAATGTACGCACCATCTTGTGGGGTACGTCGCTGTGTAGCTCGTTAGACATTTACGGATGTTTAGGGGGAAACTATTGCCTTTTTCTTCAGGGCTGAAGAGTGAGGAGAGAAAGCAAAATACATGAACGCCCAGACCAGTGTGGAAAACAAACCGCTAAATAATACTTGTACATTTATGAGACATGTCTGATAGAAAAAACAAACTCCGTAGTTTGAGTCCGCAAGCGAACTATACAGACCGAGCGACCGCCGCTTGTCGGCGAAATTAGTACCAAATTTAGCGGATAGATGATGTCGCGTGGTCAGCGAAACGGATCCCCACGGCCGTTAATCTCGGTTTTCTAGACCGGAGCCGTTATTTCCTTGAAGAATGAACCACGTTCCAGACCCACTACTTCTCAGAAAATCTGATAGCGCCAGGGATCGAGCCCGGGACCTCTGGATTTGCAGCCAGGAACTCTGACCACTAGACCATAGAGGCGGTCTGCTACTTTAGATGAAATACTTCATTTGTTTTAGAACGCAGAATTTTGCAGCTAGGTTTTGCTCTTGACATGAATGTTCAGATGAATTATTATTAAATAATATGGAATTTATTTCATCATAATGCGATGTCGGTCCGTGACCCTTCTTTCTTTCTCACAGTTTTGTTCAACCAACGTTACATTCACGGGAAGTTCTTTGCCACGACCAGAAATATCCACAATATCATATTCAGTTCCACAGGTAGAAACGTAACTAAAGATGATCCTTAACATGAATTAAGAGTACACGTGTATGTCTCATCAGAGACGGAAGCTTCGTTTCTTCCCTGGGGGCTTTCCGTTTCCTGTGACATGCCGTCTGTTTAAATTATACTTTACAATTTCATCCTCTCTTCATAGATATTCATAACATCTCTTTCGTGCAGAATTGTGCGTGGTCATGGAGGTAAAATAGTGGAGGGTGTGTTAAGACTAGTTTCGCATTATTTCTTGCTCCAGCAATTGAAACGAGATTCCACGAACTGGTCCCACCTCAGGCACCAAACTATAAATGGCAATCTGCAGCTACATTCCACTGCACACTGAAATACTCTACATAACAAAAATGAGAGTATAAATTGAGTAGGAAGTGAGGGGGCACCAATAGCTTCAATGGTATTGCCTGCGGTGAGAAAGCTTTCTGTACCCCACATGTTTTCTAGGAAGAATCATTATAAGCAGCGAATTGGAAGAATATGGAGGAGATGGTTGTGAAACAGTTTAAGGAAATAACCAGTAAATTGTCTCGAGGGACTGAAATGGATAACGGACAGTATCCAGACAAGATAACATCTATTATAGTAGACAAATTCTGTACTGCATGGCCACAAGTTGTACTGCTGACAAAGCTATTAAGTAGTACAGACGTTAACAGAGTAGTGGTCATCAAACGGATGGCACCTTCTCCCTCCAGCCGTCTGGGTTTTGTCGCCAACTTCCTGCTTCAGCAATCGGAAGACCAGTAAGTTCTCGGCAAAGTCACTTAGTAGTGAAGATATTTGGTTGAATGAAGTAGTGTTTCCTGTTCTTTCATTAAAGGTATGTTATGTTTAACGTTTCAAATAGAATGTGAAGATATTTATGAAATTCGTGTTTTACACAATGCTATCAAATTTTGGAGAATATTTCGTTCTTGACAAATGTAGTTAAATTTGAGTCAGTTTAAATTGTCATGCAAATATATATAAGACGTAGGTGAGAGCGGAACTGTAATTTATTTGACAATTTTTATTATATACTTCCCGTACCAAATTCAATCAAAATCCTGTGATTAATCTGAGAGATGAAACATATGGAGAGAGACGAGAATTACCACAAATTTGTGAAACTGAGTGAAAATAATGTTTGAGAATCTGATATAATACAAACCTTTCCACTCGTAGCTTGTTTGGTCACTCAGTTCTGTAATCAGCCATGGAATAGCCCATACAACTTTAATTCTAGGTAGGCCTAATGCTAGCCTTTCTTTCAGTCCTTGCAACACTGACGTCATATACGCATCATCAGGATTTCCTCGGAAGAAGAAGCAGCAGCAGCATAAGAACCAGTCCTGGAAAGTCAAACGTAGTTCACACGAAGATATTAATTCGGCTCATCTTTTCCCTTATATAAAGAAGAGAGTAAGGTGTCACGGTCACCATTAAGCAAGTTCCTGAGGAGAAGTGGAGGTGTGTAGCGTGTGGCGGAACTACTCGTACAAAATGAGGCGTGGTGTGTGTCTGTCCCTCGCAGTTTTAGTGTGCATTGGACTACACCATGTGAACTCAATCCCACACCATGGTAAGTGAAATGTTACACTATTTAGTATTATTATTATTATTATATAAATAGTATACAAGACTAAATCAGTACTTCTTTTGGTTTATTTTGGACTTCACCCATCGTCTGGCATGTAAAAGACAAAAGACCACGACGTTTCGGAGACTGGATCTGTCTCCGTCTTCAGGTGGATAGGGAAGGATAAACCTACTCAGTTGGGCCCGTTAGAAAGAGCTAGTCTCAATCCAGAGCTGAAGACCCCATAACTAGCTAACTGACGATCTAACTAATAAACAGACAACCCAACGATTCAATCAGCCAGATAAATAAAGTAGAAACCTTTTTGACTTCGAAAACTACGAAATTCTCCGCACTTTATGGAACCAAAATTTCATACTAGTCAATTATTGATGTCTATCGTGAGCCACATGAATTCACGAGCTT